GCAAACGGACGGCGATCTTTGTTTAATAAAAAGAACTTTCGTTTTTTTAACACTTTTCACAACAATAAAGGTTAAGTAATTGATTTGATTTTTAATAAAATAGTAATTGGCGATCAAATTAGATGCACACATTACGAGAGTGGGACATCGAATGAAAAAAAAAATCTTAAAATTGAATTTCAGTTTTTTTTACATTCATTCATATATTTACTTACTTATTTAATAAAAATTTTAATGACATCATCTATTATTTACATCCATCAGGATGCATATATTATCACTCACAAAAGAAAAAAACACAGGAATCCATCATATTAAACACCGGAATACATTTCGTATCGAATATAATGAAATTAAAAATAAATAATGTAAAATATAAAATTTAAATTTTGCAGAGCCTTTGAGTAAGTATATTAAATGTTTATTTTCATATTTTTTAGTCTTCTCTTATGGAATGAATATAAATAACTATGAACATGTTTAGAATATCATTTACGGAAAATGCTATGTACATAGTTCTTAACTAAATAAGATTTATCGTTTACAGTAAAAGATAGTACGTATTTTTTATTTATTTTTTTATACAACAAATACCCACTACCCACCTGCATAAGTTTGTTATTTTGTGCAGAACGTATCTTCTAAATATTTTTGATACTGATAGAAGTGAGGAAATATCAATAACGATGATGTGTTTTTTTTTACTTTGTATTTTGAAACTAAAAACAATTCTTTTTGCCACACTTAATGTATAAATAAAGTATTTATTAAATTTATGGTTCGCTCACAATAATGAGTTGCTAAATAATTTTTATAAAAATCACCTCAAACCTTATTTTTAAATCGTGTTTAATTATAATTATTCATACGTTAGTGTACCTTAAGTTCTTAAATGATATGTGATTACATGTAATATGATATATATATCTAACGTATGTTAACAACAATAATAACATGAAAATATATTTTTTCTAGTGATAAATGGTAAGTTTGCTAAAATGATAGTTTCATAATTTCATTTGTGTACAATATCAACATTGCATTGACAAAATATGCTTGTACTTGGCACCAAAAGATGCTAAAGAATTGTTTTATTTAAATCCACTTTCAATTATTTTATGTCTTTTACATTGTAACGGTATGCTCAAATAAATATACTTCGCCAACGGTCAAAAATGTTGGTTGCAGTCACTAATGTGTGCTTGGGTGTGAAACATCGTCTGGCGTCGCTAAGTCCCTGATCACCCTGGGTTTTGATGACGAACCGTTGCCCGATATACACACGTATTTCTGAAACATCCGTTCCGATATTTCCACCTTCTACACTCACATACACACACAAAAAAGGATATCAATGGATACATTTAAACGTAATGTAGCGATATACCTATGTATGTTATAGCAGGATAGCGTAAGGTCTCGTCAAACTCAAAATATTTTAACGAAACTACTTAAATTTATATTTTCCACATTGGTAGCATATACATATTTTATTACGAATGTTTAGTATTTTGGATAAATGTTATTTTCTTCACAATGACTATTTTTAAAATCTTTTCCAAATGAGTTCAGTTAGACATTTCAAAAAACTTAAATAATCGTACAGTAACAATCTACATTGAAAAAAATTTTAGGGAGTGTTATCAAATTGGGAATTCTTTTTTCACAATAATGTTAAGACATCCCACTTGTTACATTGTCCCATTTCCTTAATGTAATAAACGGTACAGAAATATGTTTATAATATTTTACAGTATGACAATTTCAGATAATATCACTTAATAAATTAATAACTAATTAATTTAATTTGTATTTGTTTTAGATCAAGTAGTAAAAGGTGCGTATACATTTAATTTAATTTAATGAAAGTATTCTAAATCATTGAGTTTACTTTGTCATTATAAAAATGATTAAAAGTCTTAGCATGTTTTTAAAAATCTTTATATACGGATTAATATAAACTATAAAATTAAAAACCGAAAATGACAAAACTATTCAATATTTCGATTCATGATAATCACACGTCACACAAACAATAAAGCTTAAACTATAACATTTTTGATGATGAAAATATCTTAAAAATGTTTACAATAGTGACATTTTTAATTTACACAATATTATATTACATAAGTATATTTTGACGTACAATTGAACTGTCATAATAATAAAAAAACAAAAGTAGATACACAATTTTCTTAAAATCATTCTCCAAGTATCATAGTAGGTCGATTCGCTCTTTTTTATAAACAAACGTAATTTAAAATGATCTCCTGAGCGTAAATATGCTATGTCTATTTCACGTGAGACTGAGATAACATTATATGTGGTAGTGTACCACTCCATTCAGGCATAGTGAATGACGCCTTAAAATATTATCACATTATTTTTATGAATACTGTGGAATAATCGACGGTTGTGATACCTGCAACTTATACCCACTTACCCATTTATTTTGTTACTGTTGTATAACTTTTGAATAACCTTACATTAATATATTGAGCCATATTGAATTAAACAATTATTATATTAATTATATTAATTATATTTTCTATATACATGATTCTAAATCATTGAGTTAAATTTATTATTAAATATAATTAAAGTTGTATTTCATTTCAGATACATATCGTAAGTATTTAATTTGTTAAAGATATTTACATTGTTATGTCTACTTGAGATACGGTGTGTTTTCTCAATCCAACCCCACCCAAACAAAAATTATAAATTTAGTTTGAATATTTTGAAATTTCGGGATTTTCAAAGGCTCATTATTTCTAGTCAAATGAGAAATCTTTTAAGTAATGATTGACCGATCGCAAGCAGACATTTTAAAGCATTCAGACCTGTTATCTGAAATACTATAGACGCTCACTTTCTACGCACCCATTTACAGAAACCGAAAATTAAATATTTTCAACTTCTTAACAACTATCCTCAACCATCATATTATTATTTTTACAAGTAAACTAGGCTCACCAACTGAATCCATTCAGAATGGTATTTGTACAGATGATTTATCATTAAATTCAAATCTATGAAACATTTGCACTTGAACACTTCTGCACACCAGAAGAGTGTACCCACTTATCCATTTATTTTGTTACTGTTGTATAACTTTTGAATATCCTTACATTAATATATTGAGCCATCTTGAATTAAACAATTATTACATTGACAAAAATTGAAATACTTGACTCCCACCGGTTGATTGGTTTAAAATTTAAATACTGTGTAATGATCGCGATACCAATTTGTATATACCACAAAAATAAAAAATATATCTGTCTCCTACTGAAAAAAATGTATATTAAATATTTTAATAAACAAAAAAAACTTTTTAATATATTAATAGATATTCATCTCTAATAATAACATTTTATGAATATTATATAACACCTGTTGGTAATTTTTTGTCCAAACCATGATGTAATGACAGAACAAATCATTTGAGTATTTTATCATTAACAACAATAATTTTTATTTTATTCCAGCTACACATCGTACGTAGCTCAATTATATTTAAATAATTTAAAACTGTATCTGCTATTTTTTTACACATAGTGTACTTTTTACTATTTTTTTTAATATTCTGAACAATAGGTAATAGAGATTTATTAAATAGTATGTTTATTATTTTATTTCTAGGGGATAGAGGTACTTGCATTTTGTATTTTTTTTTAAACCGGTTCAATTTTTCAATTTAATTTAAATAATTTGTGTCTTAAAAATTTAACTGTCCTCAAATTTTTACTCACCGTGTTCCCTTATAGGTATGAATTCATTTAATATTCAGTTAGAGCGCTTGTTACAAAATTCGTTTGTACTTGTTATCATCTATTGGCTATTTATTTTATTGAAATTGTTGATAATACAAAGTAAATTTGTTTATTTACTCTAAAAATAAACCAAAGTATTAACATTTTTTATTTTTTAATATTTCTATTGATTTCAAATAATATAATTAATTGCATATTTTAAATGAGTTTGTATTTTTAGTTATCGTCGGAATGTGATGACTTTTGATATTTATCCGAAACATTGAGAACAATTAAAAATTAACAAAGAACTTACCATTAAATTAAAAAATTTATACGATTGAGAAGGAATTAAAGTGCAACGTTGAAATTTCATTGATTTTTCTATTGAAGGATTCATGCAAATATACATAAAAAAAGTCAAAGTTAATAATGTTGTTAAAAAAATGTATAGGGACCTTTGGGTCATGCATTTCAAAAAAAATGTACATTAATCGCCCAATTAATATATATTTACCTCTTCCTCGAACAATAATTAAAAAACCAAGATTATAATTTTAAGTTTGACATAAATTTGGAATCAATATCCATAGTTAGGTTAAGTTTCGGTCATTTCCCATCAAACTCAAAAAATATTTTAACGAATAACTTGAATTATTATATTCCACATTACTATTTTGTACTATGAATGTTTGATATCTTATCTTTTTGGTTTATTTTTTTCATTTCCCTGTTCAGCCGTAGCTATTTTCAAAATTGTAACCGAATGAGTTTGAGTTAGAAATTTAATTTCAAAAGGCACTAACCACCGTATACAGTTCTCACCCTATCACTCTCAATAGTATTGGTAATATTAGCGTTAGCATAGTTTTGTTGTAATCGAAAATGTCAACAATGGGTGGCTCCTTATGTCATCAAAATAATATCAACCTTTCATATTTGTTGCTTTTATCCTACATCCTTATTGTATCATATTATTATACACATTATGTATTGTTTGTAAAAATTAAAACACATTGTTTTCACTTATCATATTATGTATCTATTATTTTATATAAAATCTATTTAAAAAATATCACATTTATAACTAATTATTATCATTTGTATTTCTTATAGTTAAATCAGTGATGAGTACGTATAAATTGAATTAGTGGTGCTGAAAGTGAAGGAAAACCCTATATTTTCATGGCTTTTCGTCTAATATTTTCACAAATGATAAATGGCGTATTGAAATTTATTTTACAGAGCTTGCCCGATCCTACAGAGATTTCAGGAAACAACGTATGTATGATAACTAATAGTTAGGGTAAATGGTGTTAATTGTGACTAAATAAGGCGGAAATTTAGTGATTGCTTCTCCATCATCAGCTGTAGCATTAATAGAACATCAGTAGGTGTTAATAATTTAATATATAAAAGAAATATTGCACTGGGTTAGATTCTTAGAAAAACATCTTGGTTTTATCAGCTCAAGTAACTGGCATAACAGTAACAGGTTATAACTGAAGTGCTGCACATATTAATTCAAGAGTATGTTGTGTCATGCGTTGGCCTTACAAATTTTTCTATTTTTTTTAGTCTTTTTCAAATTCTTCTTTATAGCAATTTTTGATCTGGGTAAAAAGCATTTTTCATAGCCCTTATGCTCGTAGGGCAATCTAATAAATACAAACAATAAATCTAATAAAAATGTATTTTGGTTGCAGACGCTGGCTTGACGAAACCGATAGATTCATTTTGTTTCGATTATATTAAAGAAGAAAGACAAAATGTCTTAAAATGGATTCTTTTCTAACCATTCAATATAATGGTTTTTTTTATATTTTAGATATATATAAATTAAATTGTACAATATTATTTAAAATAACTTGGTTTTAATTATATTGTTTGATATTTGGTCTCCCATTATACATTAAGACATTTGGTCTAACTAGTGTTCACTCTTTTTACGAGCCCAATAATATTTTGAATATTAATAATATATTAAATCATATTATATAACATTAAAGATTTTTTCATGCTTAATTGTTCACAAAAAAAAATTTTGACTTATATTAAATGACAATAAAAATGTTTTTCCTTTGTTCCACTTATTTCCAACAATTATTTATCATTTATGTTCTAATCTTAAACTGTATAACTATAATATTATCACTTACACTTAACAATAAATATTTCACTTAAAGGTTTTGAGTGTTTAACTCTTTTTGAAATGAAATAAAAATAAAATATGGAATAAAGGAGTACATCTGGTTAATTTTGTTGGTAAAATTAAAATTTTTATTATTTGATAAATTAAGATAAATATAATAATATTTTTAATAATATAATAGTAATAATAATAAGAATATAATACAATATATAAAACTATATTTATCCCACTAGAACATAAGTAAATCATTGTAAAGCAATCATGGCTTAACAATAAACAATACAATAGATAGTGTCAAAATAATGCAAATAAGGGTTATACAAAAATAGAATATTAAGTTAAGTAAATTATTTAATGTAATATAAAACAATAGATATATAACAAACAATAATACAATAAAATATAAAATGAATATTAGTTGACAGAAAAATAAGGGTTTGATGGAAATAACTTTTACGAGTAGATTTTTAATATTAAACAAAATACAAATTAAAATTTACCTTTTCATTATTGTATTCTATGGGTATTGTTTTGATCACAATTTTACTGCATTCATTGTAACCACGGGATGTACGATAAAATGGAATTTCAAACGTAGAACCAAAACGTGATTGGTGTTGAGAAATATGGAACTAAAATAAATCTTATAGACGATAGTTCGGAAAGAGATATGAACCCATTTAGTAATTTTTACAAGATAATCTAAATTGAGAAAAGTTAGAATTAAATAAGCAGATACTAACTTAATATAACATAATCATTAAACATATTACCTACAGAAATTGAAATTTCTATAATAGTTTATTAGGTTTTTGTTTACATTATAATTATAAACTACAAAACTTTATTATTTACATATTTGTTATAGTTTTATGGATTCATTGTAAGAATATGAATGTTAAGATAATTTGGTTGACAAAATTCACAAATCGTGGGTAGAAGAAAATGCCTAGCTCTCAAAAAACAGCCATTTAACATTCTGTTTGAGTGAGGTACAACAAAAACCAAATGGGTATTATCGAAACATTTACTAATAACCAGGGTTTTGAATAGATAACTAATAATTTATTTAGATAAAGATAAAAATGAATAAATATTTATCTAGATAAATATCAGAGAATTTCATATTTAATTTTGCATGAATTATATGATTTAAAACATTTAAAAAAACAAAATACCTAGTTTATTTTAAAGATAAACTTCATAAGAATATAACACGAAGAGGCATTCTCTGATTTGATAAATAATTATAGAAATAAGGTTACATTTGAAAAAAAAAAATAATGTTTTAAGCCATATTTGATCTTCAACATAGAATCGAATCAAAAGTTCTATTGTTTAACCTGTTACACTTAGGGGTCGAAACTTTGGAAATTCTAAAAAATGATATTTAAAAAGTCTTTTCAGTTTAAATAATGATGATATTTAAATAATTATAAACTATAAATTTCTTGGCTTTAATGAATGTTATTACCATCAAAACGGTTTTCATGATCTGATTAACCATTAGGTTATATTAAAATGTTCGAAAAAATATAATCTGTAGTAATTATTGAACAACTGTGTTAAACCTTCGAAAAACTTTAATCCTAAGTAATTATTCAGTTATATTATTATAATGTTGAATTAAAAAATATTTGACTTAAATTAAATTGAATTACATTGATTAATTAGAATCACTCATCCTAACAGAAAGAATAGTATTTTGGTGATAAGTAGATCTTGAACTGAAAAGTATGAAATTATGGCATATAATAGGTGTGTAAATCAAGAAAATTTGCAAGAAGCAACATTGAAATTGGGTAATATTGCAACAAATTCACATTATTTGTATTTCATGTATAGGTACAACTATTAGTTTCATACATTTATGAGATATTATAATAATTAAAAACGAATAAAAAGTGGATAGAAAAACATGATTTTTGAAAAAAGTGGACAAAGAACCTTTTCATTATCAGACCACGGCATTGCTTATTTCACCTTCCAAAACTTAATATTTTTTAGCGAAGACTTCGCAATTTAATTCGAAATTTAAATATTATAATTTTGTATGCATGGTTAAATTTTCGACAGTTTTTCACAATTGGGCTAATGTGACAAAACACCAGCACACTGTTTTGTACAATCGAGTTCTTGACTTTAATTTGGTAAGTTACGATTGTTAATCTACTCGAATAAATTGTGTGTCAAAACTTCAGTAATTGTATATTTGCACAACACTTAAAAACTCAAAAAAGTTTTCAATAAATAATTGTAATATAATTCAGGTCCTACTAAGGTTTATAAATTATAAATTTAAAAAAAATTATTAATAATTTTTATTATTTTATGACTGAATGTAGTTCAAAGCAATAAAAACTTAAATTTATTCCATTGCTTATAATAACTTATTTGTATTGCCCATCTGCTGTAATGTTAAATACACATTATTTACTCAGGCGTTAAAAAAAACGATTACTTGATATGTCGTTTGCTGACAAATAGAAAATAATATCACCAATTGGCATGGTAAAAAGATATTCACTTAACTGTGAACATCATTATTAATTGTGTTCTGACGGAGTATGGACTAGGAGCAGATCGCTGATAAAATAAATCAAGAAATATTATTTTATTTTATTTATTGTTCACTCTTCAACGTTCACATAATTTATTATTATTTTCTGATATTAAATCAAAATGATTTTTTTTAAACAAATTTTAATAATGTTTACAATTGTAGGTATTGCAATTTTTGTTATGCCTGTTACCTCAGATAACAACTTAGAGTGTTGGCGAAACTTAGAGCGTTCGCGAAGTAAGGAATAATTTATTGATATAGTATGGTCTTATATTTTGTATCATAATGTTATATTCTGTCGATAATTATCAACAGTGATTAGTAAATACTTTAAGAATTAATTTAAACACTGTCATCAATAATTAATATTATGTATTTATAACCTTAGAAGACAATAAAATGTATGCCATTCGTTAGATTTGAATTATATAAAATATTATTAAGCTTTTAATACACTTGTTATTCCTTAAGTCCGAATTATTTTTACTAACAATGTATTGTTTTATTTTTAGATACGTGTCAAAGTAATATTTTTTTGTATTCATAATTAATAAACAAATAGGTAGTACACATACCAACCTTCAAATATTCATGATATTCCACATAGAGAAGTCAATTTTAAAATGTATTACTTCAGACATGATAATAAGAATGGTAATTGAGGAGAATTTTTAAGCAAACAAAAAAATAAACAACTAAAAGGTAGATGTATTACAATGTGTATTTTTTAATAGTAAAGAAAATGATCCCAATACTATACATATTTTACGAAATCAACAAATTAGGAATTTATTTTTTGATTGAAGATGATTTTCATTTGAAGTCATATTTTAATATTCATGTATTATTATATCTATAAAAAAAAGTATCTTCAAAATAGTGTTTTCACATTACGAAAGTAGCTTTGTGTAAATAAATGTCATACTTCGCAGATTGTAATAAAAATGTTTGATAAATTAATGTTAAAGTAGATTAAATACATTTTATTCTCCATTTTATTAGTAAAAGGTTAACGAAAAAATTGTATGGAAAAATGTATTGGGGACTCTTTTAAAAAAATAGTCTTTCGAGCACTACAATTTCAAGGAATTGACGTCAAATAAATTCGCAATACAGAAAAATAGTTGAGATATCTTATAATAATTTTTATTAGAAATGTTAGTTAACATTTATTTTACAAAAAAAAATTATTAATTCTATATTTGTATTACACAAACTTTTTAACACGAAGGCAACACCATCAATATATATTATACTATCCTATAACATAGGTACATGTATTCATTTTATAATCAATACACCGTGACAGCGTACCTCGTACCTACCAGTTTGTTAAACCAAATCTTGAACTACATAAAGAGAAACAATCTTTAAATACATAATAGTATAATTTTTAACTTTCGTCTTTCATACAAATTATTATGGCCCATGGTTGAATAATTAAAGATAGGTGAACCATTAAAATAATTAATTGTTTATATTACTAAAGCATAGTTTTATTTAATTATAAAATATACTAGCTCTTCTGATGAGTTTTACAGCATATAAAAGTAAGTAACAAATAAGTTAATTTTATTGAAATAACATCTTTTTTTAAGAATATGTTGACCATAAGATAAGCTATTTTAATAGCAGTTATGTCATCAAGTATTCAAGTATATGAATTGATGAAACTAACATATAACCATGTTTAAAGTATCTACAGCAATTCGGTTTTTTGATTATGAAAAATCAAATCGCTAAATGAGAAATGGAAGTGAATATCCAATGTTGTAAAAATTTCAAATCAAAAAGCTTATAAAAATTTAATTTGAAAAGACATTTTTGTTCGATAAACGTAGACAAACTTAAAGGAAGTTTTGTATTAAATTTTTTAATCGTAGATATCAAATAACATTTTACAACTCAAAATAATTTTTTTTTTCGTGATTATTTTCGAATTTTGTCAGCATTTTAAAATGTATTAAATGAGCTTTATTTTTTGTTTGTAATGTTTATATTTCCTGTCGTTTTTGAAATCTAATTTTAATTTTAAATTTTGAAATCCTGAAACATTTTTACTGAACCAAACATGATGGCAGACAAAAAAAAAATCGCTCAGCTCAAAATCTATAATAGGTAGGTAATGAAAAAGAATAATTAAAATATAATATCAAAAACCGTTTTTTTTTATTGTTTATACAATTTATAATAATTCGTCAAAAATTATTGTCCCCGCGTAAAATAGACAACA